TAAGTTAAAAATAAGCAATTTTAAAAAATTTTTATTATTAATCTTAAATTTTAAAAATATTTTATAATAAAATTACAAAATTATTTAAAAAATCAAATAAATATTTTATAATAAAATTACAGAATTATTTAAAGAATCAAATAAATATTTTATAATAAAATTATAAATATTTTGAGCAATTGTAAATCAAAATTACAAATTTTATATTATATTGATTAAAAATATGTTATATTTTTATGTAAATAAGCTAAAAAAAATTTTAGCAGGCAGATTTGTCAGCTGAACAGTTTAAGGAATAAAAAATTAATCAACTTACTTTGCAATTAAAAAAACTTTTTCCATAATTTCATTAGTCACTATATATAAAATATAAATTATTAATCTAAAAATAAAAATATTTATTAATAAAATTTTATTATATTTTATTAATAGAATAAATATACGTATTTGTAACTGTTATTTGTAATAGTCGCATTTTAATTGGCTAATTAGAATCCGAGTTAAGATCCTGGATATGTGATTGATTAATATTGAAGTTGTTACAATTAGATTGATCCTTATTAATTTTTTATGTTGATTATTATCAATTAAATTTGAAATTTGATATATTGATTGATGAGCTTTATAAAATAGACTATGGCGTTGTAACGAGGGCCCCAGGTTTAATAGTAGTGGGAATCGAAAATAAAGCGGGAAATAGTTTATCAACATTTTTTTTTTACGTGAATTAGCAGCAGATTATTTTTTTTTTGATTTTTTCCCGATTACACAAGAAGGTTTTTTTTGGCCCGATTGTAATTGTTTTTACGCTCGGAACCATTCGGAGGAACCAAAGACCATTGAATATTAGAACTGGAAGAAGTGAAAAAGGAAGAATTGCTGACTTCGTTTACGAGATTGAGGAGAGCTAGATTTAAAAAAACAGGTCAAAAACAGCCAAAATATTCTCATACCTCCCCTTTACTCCTGACAGTTTTCTAAATTAGTTTCAAAGAGGTTTGCCAGCCAGTATATTCTCAATTCATTGAAAAATAATAATACCTCCATTTTCTAATACATGCCAAGTTCAAATTTGCATAAAAGTAATTCACGACAATATATATCTTCTGATCAATATTGAAGCGAGCGAGATATTTATAATTAATTCTGCTATTGTATTATTAGCTTACACAACATATATAAATGTATATATATATATTTGGCGGCAAAATCATCGCTCGTACGCATTGACTTTTCGTCTAGCCAATCAAAGCTCATTTTATAATCGCGATTTTCCCCGTTTATTATTAATTTTGATAGACGTATGCAATGATGCAATGCAATGATCTTTTTTCTTGATTTCAATTAATACGTTATCGCTGCGCATTTTATTTGATACGATAATCAAATCGGCGTAATACTATATAATCAATTGATTAATCAATCAACAGTGATCGTGATGCTGATAATAATGATTATGTAAAATCCAAAAAGTTGTATTACTTGCATCACATCTCATTAAATAAACTACTATGCGGACTATTATCTGTGTTCTAGCAATAAATAGTAATAGTAGATAAACCTTTTGCGAGCTTCCTGCATGTCACTTTTTTTATCAACCACGCAGGTTTTAGTGAAACCTCTTGATATATCTCTATCACTTGCACATATACACAAAACTTCACACACTCAATAAAATTCCCCATTTATTTAAAATGGGCAGAACGCTTGTGAGAATTTTTCAAATAAATTAAATCTAGTCTAATATGATGTTTTGAGGAAAAAAACATTTTTTCGTTTCATATAGTACCAAAATTTTTATAGATAAACACAAATATAAATCCGAAAGACCAAAGACGTTAATCTTAACCATTAGTAAGATAAAAAATAGGTTTACAGATATACATATAAAACAAAAGATCAATAATGGCGACTTCGCCTCTAAGAGACGGAGAAACCCCACAACCAGAGCAACATCAGCACCAACAAGTAGTAGTTGGTCCGGTCTCGCCCAAAGGTGGGAAATCTGTCAATTCTTTTGGAAATGCAATGTCTGCATTTAATTTTACTTCTTTGACGAGCCCGCAAGTAGGCGGTGCGAGATCATATTATAGTAGTTCACAGAGTTTACCACAGTCTGGTATGTTATGAGTATATTACGTGAGAATCTTATCTAACAGATAAGATCTCGTGTTACGTATACACAAAAATTAATAGATTATCGATCGTCTTTTAATGTCGATCATGGAAAAGAATTTGATCGTTAACCAGTTATCTGAATTGATTTTAAAGCACATCCATCATATTCCGCATCTCCATTGAATATTCGACAACAAACCCTCAAATTGGGTGATATCGGCTTAGGTCAAGAAAATGGACAGGATAGTGACGACACTGGCTCAAAAAACTCTGTAGGATCACATGATCCAGATCTACAAAAAAGCAATCTGTCGATGCTTTTGCAAACAACACCTGAAGGAGAACATTCACAAAAACCGCATCTTATATCAACGATTCAAGAGGAATCAGAATCTGATTCGAAGAAGACAAATACAAATCCAACAACCAAGGTTACACCACCAACTCCTTCGGATGATGTTGATCCATATACAAGGCGACCTCATTCTTACGAGAACAAAGATGACGAGCATCAGCCATTATTGAAAAATCAAATGGGCTTAGCGTCTAATTATGGGAATGATGCTGATGGGGTTGAGGACGATACATTAGACGAAGAAGTTTGGGAAGAGAAACCATGGTTTTCGTGGTTACCATGTGTCAATGACTGGGGTTACCTTCCGTTCTATGTAGAAGAGGAACTTCCCTCTCGAAAAGTTCATATAACTCCACAGCTAATTTTTGAACAAGTGATTCTAAATCCAATCTCATATATACCGGCAGTTATCCTGGGACTACTACTAAATTTACTTGATGCCATTTCTTATGGTAAGTAACGTGTGTGTTACTTGTGCACCAATTCTTACGAGTGTAAAAGATACCTAAGAAAATGCATGGTATTTATTTCGACTTAATATTAGGTATGATAACTTTTCCCATTGCACAACCAATTTTCAGTCAATTTGGACCTGATGGTGTTTCTATGTTTTTTGTCAGGTATACTTCATCTCCTTGGTTTTCTTTAATAATAATATTTAAGTAGCAGTCTAATCAACAATTTTACATTTCTTAGCACCATCATATCTCAGTTGGTCTACTCCCTTGGCGGAAGTATTTTTGGTGGTGGTAATGGAAGTATGATGATTGAAGTCGTGCCTTTTTTACACATAATGTAAATATATTTATTTAGTAGAAAAGGTTTCTTTTGTTAACCAAATGTCAATGGGCGTCAATGTCTAAAACTAATATTTTTCTTTTTACAGGGCTGAAATTATTATCCGAGAAGTGGGCGAAAATAATCCAAAGTCAGTTATCGCTACAACTATACTTTCATTTGCACTTAGTACAATCGTCACTGGAAGTGTATTTCTCTTGCTCGGTGCCTTAAAGGTATATAAGAATTCTTGTATAATAATAATTAATAAGAATCGATGAGATTTTTATCTAGTTGGCTGATCATAATTATTTTCTCGTGATAAATAAAAGCTTGGCTCTTTAATTGAATTCTTCCCACGGCATATTCTTGTTGGATGTATCGGTAAGTTATCGTTCCTTGGACTTTCGTATCTAATTTATATTTATTCTTGATATAAAAACTAACCGTATTAAGGTTTATTCGTATCTTAAGGTGGTGTTGGTTGGTTTCTTGTAGCTACTGGGATTGAAGTCGCAGCCGGTCTCGACGGAAATTTAGAATACAACTTGGAGAACCTCAAATTATTATTTCTTAATTTACATATACTATCGTTGTGGGGTTCGGCATTTGGGCTTGCTGTATTATTGAGATATATTCATAGCAGAATCCATCATTCTCTTGTCGTCCCATTCTTTTTTATGCTTGTACCTCTGTGCTTTTATTCAGTCGTTTATATATTTGGTTTGAAATGGGAAGACTTGAGAAATGATCATTGGGTGTTTCCTTTGCCTGAGGACGAGGCTCCTTGGTATCGATTCTATACATATTATGGTAATTCTGATTTTGTAATTAAAACTTTATCGAGTATCCTTATTCCTAATATTATTAACCTTATTCTTGATTTGAATCATTTAGATTTCAAAGAAACAAATTGGGGTGCTCTTGTACAGACTGTTCCCGCTATGTTTGCATTGACTTTCTTTGGTATATATCTTGGTTATAGGTATTTTGTTGAAAATATTTTATTTACGTTTTTTGTTGCCGTCATTAGGTATTTTACACGTTCCTATCAATATCCCGGCTCTCGGCGTTTCAGTTGGCGAGGACAATGTAAACACAAACCGTGAATTAGTAGCCCACGGTTTTTCCAATATCCTATCAGGTTTTGCTGGAAGTGTGCAAAGTAAGATTTATATTTGAAGATAAATTTCCATTACTATAATATTAATACAGAATTGATTATTTTTCTGTAGATTACTTGGTATATACAAATTCTGTACTTTTCATAAAAACGGGCGGTGATAGTCGTGTAGCTGGTGTAATGCTTGCCGCCGGCTCTGCGGTCATTCTATTCGTAGGCCCATGGATCGTAGGTTATATTCCAGTGATGGTTGTCGGTGCTCTCATTTTTCATCTAGGATTGGATCTGCTAAAAGAGGCGTTGATTGACACCTGGGGAATTGTGAACAAGCTCGAATATATCACCATCACAGTGATTGTCATTGCAATGGCAGCGTTCGGATTTATTGAGGGTATATTCCTGGGAATTATCATGGCATGCGTTTTCTTTGTAGTCTCGAATTCGCGTAAAACTGCGATTCGAGCCACTTATTCTGGAAGCTCTGTAAAATCCACAGTTCGTCGCCTTTATCGTCAACAAAAATTCTTAAAACATGTTGGCAGCCAAATTTTTGCCATAAAATTACAAGGATACATGTTTTTTGGAACAATTAGCGGAGTTGAGAATGCCATTCGTAGGGTGTTGACTCAACAAGAATGGCGCAGGAATCCTATTCGATTCTTGATTGTGGATTTTTTTCTTGTGACTGGACTCGATTTCAGTGCTGCTGAAGCTTTTATTCGTATTCAAAGACTTTTGCAGACAAGAGATGTGTATCTGGTGTTGTGTGGTGTGCAAGGGGAGTCTGAAGTTGGAAAAGCCTTAATATCGGTGGGCATGTGGTGGGTAGTTGACGGGGCAAACGAATATTTACAAACTTTTGAGAATTTCAATGAAGCACTGGAGTGGTGTGAGAACAAGTTGCTGAAAGCTTATTATGTGCGTCGTAATGCTATTCCTCCACCTGAACCTTCTCCCAATGAACTTGGTAAATTATTTTCTTTGTTCAATATAAACTCAATTTTAAAGGTTATGATATCAAGTTAATTATATTGGTCATTTTTTAATATGATAGTAGTGCCACATTCTCCTCCAAAAGACATAATGGACTTTGCTTCACCTCGACACAAGCTTGTACAGGTGGCAGGTCAATTGACCTTACAAGATGGTAAGCACCTATGTAATTTGTATTTCAAAATTCACATTTATAAAATTTATTAATATTGATGATGATCCTTGCTTTTAGAAAATAGTCAAGCGCATTCACATACCCAGCCCTTCGCACTGCTAGTACAAACCTTCCAAGATATATCCGATAAAAACGATGAATTCTTTCATCTCCTTACACCATACTTTCATGAAATTCGCGTCCCATCAGGCGCACGTCTTTGGAAACAAGGTGACGCACCAGACTGTCTTTACCTTGTTGAACGGGGACTTCTTCGTGCAACCTTCAAAGCAGAAGTAGGCGACCAAGCAAAACCAGTCGAAAGCATATTACCAGGCACAATGGCCGGCGAACTAGGGTTCTTTGCGGATCGCCCACGAGATGCAACATTGTACGCTGATATGGATTGTATATTATGGCAGATGCGAACTTCGGATTACGAGAAATTGTTGGATAAGAAACCGTTGGTCGCAAATGAGTTTATGCGATTATCGTTGAATTTTTCGGCGGAGCGGTTGGCTACCATGACACATTACGCTTTTCATTTGGCATAATTTAAAAGGTAAATAAATAATTTTATTATTGAACTTTATTTCATTTATTTTATAGATTATAATCGATTCTTCCATGTTTTATTAGTGTAATCTCTAATTTACGTGTGGATTTGATGAGTTTCATATACATACGCATGTCATACACATTTATTGGGAAGGGAATAATACTTTTATTTTTACAACAAAAATCGGGTTCCTGTAAGATCATAACCTCACAGGAACACAAAAAGAAACGGTTATAATATGAACATTTCACAACTCAATTCACATAATGGTTAATTTATTCCATTTGTTTTCAATGTGGATCAAAAAAAATAAAATCATTTCAAACATACATATATTTTTCTGCTGCTTGGAATTTGCGATTTCCGAATTATCATTTCTTAATTCATTTACCTCTCCCACTATGATATATAGTCAATCAAAGTGGTAACTAGATTTGTTTCTTCATTTAATTAGTACTTTAGCTGAATCTCTTAGAGATCTGATGTAAATCAGGTAATTTGATTTAATATAAAGCATTACTCATCCATATTTGACATATTTATATAGTTATATTAATCCAAAATAAACCTGTTAATTTGGCTGATCCAATTAATTCACTCAAAAAGCAGATAATTTTGTTAGATTTCTTGCAATTTTATTTTTTTTAACAATTTCAGCTATATTTTTATTTTATACCAGAAATTTAAACTCCAAAATAAAAATAGAGTAACTTTAAAAATTTATTAGAGCTTTATAAAATAAAATTTAGAAAAACTAAATCAATAATATTGTTTTTTGAATAAGCTCTCTCAAATTATTAATTAGAATTTTAAAAAAGTTATAAGTATTTAAATTTGATTATAGTTAAATTTCTTTATAATTATATTCTTTTTATAGTTATCCAATTTTGCTTTTTCAAGAATAATGGATATATTTATGTTAAATTTTGGATTGGATTCATTTATTTATATAATACAAATTGTAATACAAATTTCTAATTTATCTTGTTCAGTATATATGAACAAAATTAAATAAAATTCAATTTAACTATTTATTGATCAATCTATAAATAATTTATCTTTGTTGGATAAAATTTGATTAAATAATTTATTGGTTAATTTATAAATAATCCATCTTGTTTAGTATATGTAAACAAGATTAAATATATTTTTTTAATTAAAATAACAAGTTATGAATAATTATATGAAAATAATAGTTTTTCAAGTATTATCAATAGTTCAAGTAATGACAACTTGAAAATTTTAACTGGAATTGTATAAATTTTACAAACTATTACTGAATATGAACAAAAAAAATCTTAATAATATATCAAAAAAGTGAAAAATACAAAATGATTTTTTAAGATTTGTATATAATGAGAAAATAATAAATTTAAAAAATATTTTAGAATTACTAGAAGTATTTTTGAATAACTTTTAAAAGAAATTGTATTAATATTAAGTATTGATAGATTATATGATTTATCAAATCATTTAAAATTAGTAGCAACTTTATAATAACTTGCAACAAAAGAAACTTTTTGATTTATTGCTTAATGTTTAGATATTGGTATATCAACTTTTCATTATTATAATTCAAGCTATTTTAGATTAATTTTTAAAAAAAATCTGATATTTTTTAATTTTAAATATTTTTTATGTATATATATATATAATGTAATATAAAACACTAATATTTATTTTAAATTAGTTTTCTAATTATAAATTATGATTAATAAAAGCTTATTAATAGTTTTTATTTAATAAAAGAATTTTTATATGTTATTAATATAATTAATATAAGTCATATTCCAATTAAATCACTATCTAAAGATAATATTAATTATTTTAATTACAAAAAATTCTATAGTATAATTTTACAAGACATATGCAATTTTCAAGATAAATTTATAAATATTTATTATAAATAAACTAGTGCAATATATGATTCTTACATATTACAAAATTTATTATTATATACAAAATTTAATACTTCATATTTAAGATTAGTGAAATCATATATTTTAGGTGATAGTAATTATACTAATAGTAATTGGTTTTTGATACTATATCAAAATAATAGTTATTAATATTAACATAAAAATATTATAATTACATATACTCAACAACATGAATTAAAATTGAATATACTTTTAATTTAAGTCATATTGAAGAATTTTGTATAATTTAATTGAAATAAAAGTGAAAATTATATTTTATATTGTTATTTGTTGTTGTATCTTTCATAATATTTGTAAAAAAAAAGAATCTTTTAATTCAATTAATATTATTTTTGATCTTATTTTATTAAATAATTAAGTAATAAATATAAATAATAAAACAAAAAAAAATTAGTTATCAAATATCTTTTTGTTAATAGATAAAGACAATTGGTTTATTAATTTTTAAATGAGAATTTCAATGATTTAGATATTAATAAATATAAAAATAAAATTGAAAATTTATTTGATAATATTATAGATTAATCAAATATAAAATTATAATTATTATTTTTTATCTATATTTTTTTATTTTAAAAATAGTAATATTAATAAAATAAAAATTTCAGCTTGTAAGTATTTTCATATTAAAATTTTTTAGCAAGTAATATTACTATTACTAAATATTAATACTATAAAGAAATAATAATAATTATAAAGAAAAGATAATTTCAAATCAGTTAAATTATTAATAATTCAGTAATTGAGTCATGGCATATCAAGATGAAAAAAGTAAAGGTATTTTCATATTTAAAATATTAAACTATAAACTAGAATCATCCCTCTAGAAAAAAGATTCTCTTTAAATATACCACTTTATATTTATTTATACGTACAGTGGCTCTTACAAGAAATGGAACACGCGATCAAAATTTATCTCTGTCAATATTAATTCAAACAAACATTCATTTTAAATTCGAAACCTCTAGTATAATTTGACAACAGATTATCTTAACCATTTTGTGAGTGATTTAAATTAAAATTTAAATTAGTAAATTTCTCGCATTGAACAACTTTTTTTCTAAGGCAAATCCTACTCGCCTACATACCAATTTCATAAAAATCTGCACAAAATTTATCCCGAAGTCCGAATCTCTGCTAGGAGCATGATTTATTTGCTAGATTTGGGCCTTCGGGATCTTAAATCTTTGTAAGTAGAAATATTTAATTAGTGATCCAAATTTGGTTTTTAATCTTAGGAAAAAAGTTCTGTAGGTCGAAATTTACTAATTTAAAAATCTAACTTAAATCACTCAATTTTACAAAATGATTAAAATAATCTGTTGTCCATTAGTTCAAAAACATAATAGAGGTTTTGAGGTTTAAAATTTTGTTTAGATTAATATTGACAGAGATAAAAATTTTGATCGCGTGTTTCATTTCTTGAAGAGCCACTGTATGACCTAGTACAATGTTTTAAGATGGTACAAGGAATACGAATTTAATTAATTAATTGATTCAAAAAGTGCACACGCAAATATAAAAAGAAAATCATTCAGAGTATCGGACAAATAGTTTTATATGTCCAATTAAAAATGTGGCGCAGTTTATTATGTCTACTTTCTACATGTTTTTATCACAAGAGAAAGAAGGTAACTTTTTCGCCTCATCATTCAGTAATTTTCGCCAAGAAAAAGCTTGGCAAGACCATTATGGCAAATCCTGCTGAACGCTCGAATCGGAAATTTTCTTTGTTTGCTGTAAATCGGAAAGTTTAACTTTGAAACTCTTACCCCATCATGTCTTCTAATTCGCTCACATGTCTTGAATATCAAATTTTGTTATAAAAATAGCATTCGTTGTAGGATGGATAATAAACGTAGACACAAAACAAACATGAACACTAATGAATATTACAATTTCAAATAATCTATGGATATAAAAAACTCATGTCTGGAATTTTGAGTCAATTATAAATTTTGAGTCAATTATAAATAAACTACATACTAGCTTTCTTTTTCATATTCTCCCCGCCGCCCCCCCCCCCCCTCCCTCTCCTCTTTCTTCCTTTTTTTTTTTTTGTTGTGTTTT